AGCCAATAAGTCAACAGTGGGCCTGGACTGTCACTATGTTCTACCTAATTCTTTTATTACTCCTGTCTTATTTTCTTACCCTTGTATATTGTTTATGTTGCACACACTAGAAACATGTTGCACACTAGAAACATTCTTCTATTATGATTCTGCTATATTCCATGAAAAGGGAGTGAAGCAGTTCAGGAAATAGGAGATTTTAGAGTCTTAAAACAACTGCCAGAGTGTGGGCTGAGAAACTTATTCTAGTTACATAAAAATTCCTTCTGTGTTGCTTCTAGATTTTGTTAAAGGCAATACTGCCCTCTGCTGTCCAAAGCCAGTTCTAACGCATATTTTCTCAAATTGCTCCTTTTATTCTTCCAGTTTAGACTCTAGAACTTCTTAGAAAAATAACAATTATTTGACTTGCTGTAGTTTATTTGCTAGCTTGAAGTTCATTGGATCAAGTAGTTTGGGGCCATACTAGATTCGTCTATACAATAATACCCCTCATCTGAAAGGTAATATCCAAGTTTTTTGTTTGTTTGATATTACTTTCCTCTCTTTATAAGGAGAGTGTTCCCAATTCTTATTTTAAAAATATAATACATTGGATCATTGCCAACTTTTAAAAAGCTAAATCATTATTCTCCTTCCTTCGCTTTTGTAACTGATGTGTCATTTTTCATTTCACTCTGGATATAAATCGTAATTTCTTTTGCCTGTGTTTTTTCTTCACAAGCACGCCTTTCATATAATGATAGAGGTAAGATGCATTGATGTTTGTTTATGGTTGTGGAACTTTTTGTGGATGCATATTAAACATTTTGTTCTTAGATTTTCATTGTTATTGTTGCTTTATTGTGCATCCTTTACAAATTTATGTTATGGAATTTTTTTAACCACTTTTAGTATTAAAAATATGATTGATTTGCCACAGTAATAGTTTTTGGTTTTCAAAGAGTTCTTAACCTCATTTATACTTACCTGAGTTGGAATGTAGAAACAACTGTTCTAGTTGATGAGATGTTAACACCTAATGGCTAGTGTGTCACTAGCTTAAATGTGAGCATATGCTCATTTTTACCAGGAGCTGACTTTCTGGTAAAACCCATTATCCTTTAATGTGAAATCTATAGTTTCAAATAGTTTCTGTCTTCTGTAGCCTCCTTAGCAAATGGGCTAGCTAGAGAAGTATAAGTTAATCTTTTGCTCTCTAGAGATTGAAGGCTTTATTTTAGATTAGAATTCACCCTTCCCACTTGAGAACTCAGAAGAATCAAATGATCACAGACTACTTAGCAGCTCTTCACTTTTGCTAATTTATTTCAGTCTTCAGTATAGTAATTTTATTGGGTAGCAGTGTTGGGATGGGCTCACGGCTTTCAGTGATTGCCATTTGTTGTTCCTCAACATGATGTCTTCTGATGCCATAATTTTCATATACAAATGAGTAAAGAAGAGATGTAAGTGGAGGCATGTTCCACTGCATGTCTTCGTAACTATGCAACATAGCGTGGGGATTGCAAGTGAACAGGAGATCAGAAAAAGTTTACAGGAATTCCCTGGTCCATACAGTTGAACCCCCAAAGCTGGTTTTGTGTGTAGCAGGACCAAGTCATGTTTTATGACAATATTAGAGTGTTGCTGTCATTATGAAGTACAAGCCCGAATTTGTCTTGCCAGGTGTTGATACATTTTAAAAGTATAAATCTTTATTCCTAGAATCAAGTACAGTTGACTCTTGAACAATGCAGGGTTTAGGGGTGCCAGTGCTGTGCACAGTCACACCTGCGTATAACTTTTTACTCCCCTAAAACTTAACTACTTAACCAGAAAACTAAATTTTGTGACTAATAACACAAATGGTTAACATATGTTTTGTATGTTATACATATGATATGGTGTATTTTTGCAACAAAGTAAGTATCAAACCAAGTAAGCTAGAAAAAGGAAAATGTTATTAAAATCATAATGAAGAGAAGATACATTTACAGTACTGACTGGATTGTATTTATTAGAAAAAAATCCACATAGAAGTGGACTCCTGCAGTTCAAACCCACGTTGTTCAAGGGTGAACTGCATTGAGTTTTTTGTGGGTAAATTAGTATAATGATGCTCATAAACTGCAAATGATTTGTGATGTTCTCTGATAAGTAAAAGCCAGATATTAGAGATACAGTTAAAGTTTCCTATACATTTAGTGAAGAGTATGAAAAGTATTATATAGAATATTCTAGTTTTTCATTAAAACAAAAATTTATATTAATTAGTATTATATATTTTATAGAGTTATGATCTATATTTTACTCATTTTTGAGTTTTACCTTTTAAGTATTATAGAATATTATTTAAAAACACATACCATTTTCAAAAGTTTGACATTCTGTAGGAATCTGCCTTTGTAGACCTTTTCCTCACCCTTTAAAAAGTCGTCAGTATTCTTTTAACAGTAGTCTGTTTTCATGCTATTATAAGGCTGAATAGAATGGTAATAGTATTAGGACAGTGATCTAAGATTTTTTACTCATAATGGTAGCTTAGAAACTTGCCAAACAAAGACTTAGAAACTTATGGGAACCTTAAGGTTTATTTGTGCATTCAGAAAATATTCAGTGATCTTTTCTCTCTAAACAGAGACATTGAAAGTTACTGTATGTGTCCTAAACTTTTTTAAAATATTAAAATTGTATTTTCAACTGCAAACATAGTCTTAATTTGAGATGTGGATTAAGTCCTCTGAATCCTGTTTTATAGACTGAATCATATCCATGTGGTTGGTACACTTTAGAACAGAGAATGGGTAATGTCGTATGTTATCAAGAGACATTATCAATTTACATAAAAGGTCCTAAATATCTTAAAGTTAAGAGCTGTTTTCTTCTTTATGTGTTTATTTTGCCTCTTCAGCTTTCAGCATTTATCACCATACTTCAGTTTTTGGTATATCCCTGCTTTGAAAACTTGACATTTCTGACTCAGTTCTAAAAAGGGGGGGAATCAGTGATTTTAACTTTGTAGTTAGTGACATTTTTTCAGGCTGAACTTTTTCTGTTAGCATAATTATTTTATGTAGTTATCTAATAATTCTTGGATTTTGAGCATGAGTGGTTTTCTCTGCCTCTACAAGACTAGTTTTCAACCTTTTTCCCTCCCATCTCCACATCCACATCCGCAGCCTACTCCTGTCAGTAGCATCTCTTATTACACTTGTAAATGACCAGTTGAGCAATGAGGTAGGCTGGGTTTAAGTTTGATGAAACCTCTCCCTAGATTCTTGTGTCCCTTCCCACTGAGAATAATAACTTCAGGGGCCATACTTGCCCTAAGATTTGTATCTGACTTTTCTGGACTCATCACTCTGTTAAAACTACAACACTCTTTAGCTCTCCTATAACCTTTCATCTTTTGAATGTGTGAAGGCAAAGCAACTTTTTGTAGACATTTAAAAAATAAATATCTAAGGCTGAAATGAGTCACAAGAAGTTTTCTAATTTATCTATTTTAAAAGTAGGAATTCTCAAGCCATTTTATAAAGGATTGCCTACAAAGAAATTGCACCTTCGTCCTCTTTAATACCGTGCAGTGTTTCTATTTTTTTTTTTTTTAAGATTTTATTTATTTATTTGACAGAGAGAGATCACAAGCAGGCAGAGAGGCAGGCAGAGAGAGAGGAGGAAGCAGGCTCCCTGCTGAGCAGAGAGCCCATGCAGGGCTCGATCCCAGGACCCTGAGATCATGACCTGAGCCGAAGGCAGCGGCTTAACCTGCTGAGCCACCCAGGCACCCCAGTGTTTCTATTTTTGAGAGTCTTTCTAATGTTGATGTAAGCTTTTTAAAATCTTGAGTGACACCATGGGCTGAATAATGCCTAAAGGGGGCACTGACCGTGTTGGAGCTTTTGCAGAGATTTTTTTCTTAAAAGGGGATGAAAAGGAGAGAGATGCATTGATACATGATGACATACTATTTCCAGGCAACTTAGATGACACCCAGTGTCACAGTGTCTGCTGCAGTTGCCACAGAAATTTTAGTTCTTCCTTGTAATACTCATTATGCAGCCCTTCATACATTTTTATTACTTTTCTCTGGAAGCTTTTCAAAAGGCTTCCTACATCTTGTTTTAGTTGCAGATACTGAACTGATACAATGCTTCCAGAGAGGTTGCCATTCTGCTTTGTATAGGAAGGATGCCTTTGTGTTTTGTACACATTGTGCCCCTATTTATATACTGTATTTGCTCCATTTTCAAAATTACCTATAGAAATATACTTCTCTTTCATTTTTCTTACCATCTACTATGATGAACACTAATTTTCTGGATTATAATTTGTACTTTCTTTGCCAGTCAGACTAATAATTTGTATCTCCAGTCAATTTGGGGAATTATAAGCAAAGGGATTAATTGTTAATAGGTTGAAAAAGTAGAATAAATAGAACACTGTGGCTGTTAACATATTTCCCATTTTCTGTTTGACACACTTATCTGCAACGTATTTGGGAATGACTGCATTTCTGAGATTAATGAAGAAAAGATTTAAAGATAAACAGTCAATGGAGAAAGAAAATAGTGGATTTTGAGGAGTGTTTTCCTTTGAGAAATAGCCATAATTTGCTGTTGCTGTCACTTTTAAAATCCTTGTCTAATAAAGTACCAACTGGATGAAGCCGTTGAAATACTGTTAGTAATAACCCTAAAGGTCACAAAAGACCTTAGTCCAGAAAATTAGTGAGATGGACTCAAAATGATTTGCGGTCATTTCTCCTGCTGTACTTATGTAGCAATAGTGCTGAATGTTATTATGGAAACTCTCAATTCAAGTGGTTTGCTTTATGATCACTATAAATAATTAGTAATGCTTGAGAACTGTTTTTGCAAGACAGAAGTTAGTGTCATTTGTATGTGTTTCCTGTTTCTGTCAATTGATTCCTCAGTATACTCACTTTTCCCCTCATATTTAGCATTGATCTATATCAGGTGCTGCTTTCTAAAACGATTGTTAATATTTATCTGTAGGACCCAGGACCACCCCCACCTTCTCCATTACTAGGTTTGAAGCCACTGCAGTTATTAGAAGTGAAAGCAAGGGGAAGATTTGGTTGTGTGTGGAAAGCCCAGCTGCTCAATGAGTACGTGGCTGTGAAAATATTTCCAATACAGGTATGTTATTGCATCTTTCTCATCTGCATACATTTTGTAAAAGATGAACTGGCTCAGTTGTCGTAATTCAGAAACAGTCCAAAAACACAGACCACATGTTTCCAGGTGGCTCTTTGTGATATTGAGGAAAGGGGTTAGCTCTTTAGTCTGCCTTCTCATCCAAGGAATGGAACTCATGGTATAGCAGTTGTTATGTTTGTTTGGAGTGATGGAATTCCAGTGAATAATGTATAGGACATCTTTTGCCATTAAAAATACTATAGAAATGTAAGGTGAAGATGAGGATTCCAGTAATAGAATTTTGTTGGTTAACTTTTAATATCCCATTGACATTATCAGAAAACAAAGAGAAGAATGAAAGAATAGCATACTTGTTTTAGAATTGCTTCGAGGTATATTACCAGACTGATTCTTTTTTGTCTTACTTTGATTGCTCATGTAATCATTTCAGATTTTGTTTGGAAGTGAATCAAGATTCCAAATAATTGGTTTACTGTTGACTTTTCTTTTAAAGGGGGCTGACCTCATAAAACCCTGGTCTAATGCACCTCTGGGCTGTTCTTATGTTTTATTTGAGTCCATCAGTGGTATAGATCTATGATGATTTCTTCCTACCTGTGTCTTGCTTTTCGCCTCCAGCTAATGCCTTGCATGCTATTGCAGTCCTGGTTGGGTTTGGTGATGCAGGGTCCACCACTGTATCTTCACAGTGGAGCTACCTCATTCCAGAGTTAGGGAACCAATTTATCTTAATATACCTAGCTTTTATCTTTCTTGCCACCTCTAAAGTCTCATAGAGTCTGTGAAGAACGTTATTACTTTTTTTTGTACTGATGCAGATACTTTATAGAAGAATCTAATCTGCTCTGCTAAGATTGACAAATTCAGGGTTCTTTCATTGTGGGAAGAAGCTTAAAAATTAGAGAAAGGTCTTTGGATATTAGCACAAGAGTAACAGTAGCTAATATTTTATTAAATGCTTCTTACTGTCAGGAGAGGTGCTTTACATAGGAGTACTCAGTAATAGGTGTCTATATATTACTCACACATAAAAAACAATACACAGTATACATGTAATACAGCAATCCTGTGGATCAGACACTGTAGTGTCCCCATTTTGCTAATGAGGAAACTGAATGATTGTCACTTGGCAAAGGTTCTTAAGATAGTTTGGATCCAGAGGGTTCCAAACCATTACGCTATGGTGCCTCCTACTTTCATTATTCTTCCATTGTGAAGAGAAGCTAATCCTTTATAAATAGACATGTAGTAGGCATGGGTCACTTGCAGATGCAAATGAGTATGTAGTGTTTTAAAGTGTATTGCCTATTTATGCCCTGTTGTGTGCTCATTGACTTTGCAGGGTATTCTCAGCATTTTGTTAAGAACGTTTGATACAGTGTTAGTCTTTGAACAAAAAAATTGTTTTCTATTGAGATGAAGTCATTCTACCTGAAATTCGTATCTCAGGAAGATTATTCTGAATAAACAAAAATAACTTCACACGATGATGATGAAATGACACTGTATTACGAAATTGCCAGCAGAATGTGTTGCCATTGATAGATAGAGATATGCAACATTTCCCATGAGGACTCCTGTATTCACAAACAAGAAACATAGAAAAGTATGTTTTAGGGAATGGGGCAGGCAGGGCAGGCATTTGTCATAGAGTTGCTACCTTATTCTTAGATTTCTTTTATGAAAAAAATAAGACAAAACCAAACCAAAGAATCTTCTCATGCTTAGCTTTATTTTTAAATTTTGCCTTAGAATCTACTTGAGTAATCTCTTAGATATGGTTTATTTGCCTGTGTTCTTTGCATTCTTACTATTCTTTCTTTTTAACTCTAGGACAAACAATCATGGCAAAATGAATATGAAGTTTATAGTTTACCTGGAATGAAGCATGAGAACATACTGCAGTTCATTGGTGCAGAAAAACGAGGCACCAGTGTTGATGTGGATCTTTGGCTAATCACAGCATTTCATGAAAAGGTAAAACTACTTTCTGTTTTAACTCAGGAAAGTCAGGGTTGGCTTACCTACCTAATGTTGGCTATAAATCCCTCAGACTTGTTTTTCTGGAAATAGTAAGTTGTTTTAGTTGGTTATGGCTCAGTGGGTTAAAGCCTCTGCCTTCAGCTCGGGTCCTGATTCCAGGGTTCTGGGATCGAGCCCCGCATCGGGCTCTCTGCTCAGCAGGAAGCCTACTTCCCCCGTCTCTCTCTGCCTGCCTCTCTGCCTACTTGTGATCTCTGTCAAGTAAATAAATAAAATCTTCAAAAAAAAAAATTAATTCATTTTATTAAAAGAGAAAAGTCGGCAACTCTTTCACCTTAGCCTCTACTTACATAAAACCAGTCATTTGTTCCTTATTTCTTGTGCTGCAGTTATCTCTCTTACAGGTAATTATTTCAGTGTAGCCGGTGCTTAGTCATTTTCATTTGCCATTCGCAATTCATCTTGATTATTTGGACCATTTTTTAGGATGAATTTTGTTTTTAAAACTCTTCAGTCAGTATAGCCTAGTGACAGAACTAGAGTGAGGAGATTTATCTGATCTTTGATCTGTCACTCATCTATAGAATAATTATCACCAGAACAAAGCTGCTGTTTCTCCTCTGAAAGTAGAAAGGTTTTCTGCTTTCAGAGTTAGTATGAAAATACATGTTAATGAAATAAGCAGTTGTGTTCTCCTTGGCAATTAGTTTCATCATTGTTAGATATAGGTGGCTCTTAAACGTCTCTAAATTGTTGACCAGAATAGCAGTAATCTGTAGAGGAAGATTCTGACAGCTGTATGTCTTAATTTTGTGTTAACATTTGTAGTCAGCATATTTTAAGTTTTTAAATATTTTCCTGAACTTTAGATTTTCAAATGGTGGGTTGTTTTGTTTTGTAACTCCTGCCTTCAAAACAGGAGGAAACTGACTGTGCCTTCTAGCAAACCTTTAAAGATTAGGGGTATTCTATTCTAGTCAGATGTTTACTAATGTGAAACTTGAATCATTACAGAAAGATTGCCTTTTTTTTTTTATAATATTGTTCACTAAAAGTAAAGATATGTTGCCTTCCATAATCTCTTAAAAGTAAAAAGAAAGTTCTCCATGTCATACAGCTTTTGTCCAGAGCATAAGTTGTTTTTTCCCCCTTTTTCTTTCATTTCTTTAGGGTTCACTGTCAGACTTTCTTAAGGCTAATGTGGTCTCTTGGAATGAATTGTGTCATATTGCAGAAACCATGGCTAGAGGATTGGCATATTTGCATGAGGACATACCTGGCCTAAAAGATGGCCACAAACCTGCCATATCTCACAGGTAGAAATAAATTTATATTGTTTTCCCTAATAATTTAGTATTTAGTATTTAAACTTTAAATCTACTGTGCAAAATTTGCTTTCCCCCCAATTACCTAATCATGCTAGAAGAGGCAGTTGATTTTTATTTGTTTTTCAAATTACCTTTGAGATTGGCCAGGAAGTATTTTGGGTAATAGATATATTTAATATCATTAGCAAAGTTTAAGTAATGACCTCTGTTTTAATTTCTCATTTCTGAAAACATGGTTAAGAGTGAAAGTGTATTTTGTCTATCTCAAAGGAAAAAGAAATTTGTTTTGCCTCAAAACATGGATTTACTTTGGTGATAATTTTAAGATGTAATTGAGGAGAGACTCTGAGTATCTTTTTTTGTGTTTGTAATGACCATGTGATCATTATTTGAGCTGAGTTGGAGGGAGGCATCATTTGAATAACTGGGCTTGAACCCCAATAGTTGTCATTCCCTTAAAAGGGAAAATGTTCGTTCCTTTAAACTTGGAATCAGTTTGCCATTGTGTATTCAATTTAAAGACAGTTGCTTTAGAAAGAGACCCATAAATACAGAGAATAAACTAATGGTTGGCAGAGGAGGGGTTGGGGGTGAGAGTGTGAGTGGGAATATGGACTAAATGGGTGAAGGGTAGTAGGATAAAAGCTTTCATTTATGGAATAAGTAAGTCATGGTGATAAAAGGTACACCATTAGGGAATATAATCAGTGGTTTTGTATGGTAACAGTAACTACACTTGAGTGAGCATGGCATAATCTATAGACTTGTTGAATCACAACGTCTTACACTTTTAATGTAACATTGTGTGTCCATTATATACTTCAGTTAAAAAAAGATGGTTGCTTTAAAAGCGGATTCATTTAATAGATACTTAATTGAGCGCCACCAGTTGCAGTGTTTTAGGTTGCTGGGAGGCACTGCTTTTAATTTTGCAAACTCCCTTGAATGAATTCCACCTCAGAAAAAGCTCCCATTTTCTCACCTTCCTGCATACAGTCTATCTCTTCCTGAATTTTTGTTCACCTCACCTAGTCCTATATGGAATTAATTCTTTGGCACCCCCAAAAGTTATTAGCAGTGGGGTTCCTAAAAATCCTTTGAGGCTAAAACTGATTGTTTTTTGCAGCATTTGTGGGTGTTTATCTGTGTCTCCTCTGTCCCATTCTTGGTCTCCATGTCTGTGCACATAGATTTAACTATTGCTCATGGCATAGGTATATGTAGTTAGGAGTGTAGTAATCTTTAGGGTGAATTAGCTGAAGCTAGTATATAAAAGAGGTTATCTGATTGCTTTGAAATGGTTACTCTTTTTGGAACACCAGGATCTAGCTGGAGCAGTTTGTTTATGGTGAAAATTTTCTGATACACATTCCTAGAGATGCTTTTCTACAACAAGGCTGATGAATCTCAGAACCCCTAAAATAAGGGATTGTTTGTTATAGTATGTAGGCCTTTTCCAGTAGGCAAAAGGCCCCAATTCATTTTATTTGAATATTCTTTTAGTTTGCTTTCTTAAATCTCAGTTGCAAGGGGCGTTTCTAAGTATAAACTCTGAAATATTCATTTTACCTCAAAAAACCAGCAATTTTATGATTGGTAGGTAGGAATAACATAGATAACATGTAGGCTAGACAGTATTTTTGGAATAGCAGCTCTTTATAAAACTGCTTTATGGAGAAATTTCCTTCTTATTGTCCATGTTATGAATAGGAGAGTTTGTCACTCTACTCCTGTTTTTCAAGCCTTTTCTCCCTCCTTTTTTCTGTTTGTCATACTTTAATAGTGTTTTCTCCTCTTTTCCCACTTTCCTTGAAAACTTTTAAAAGTAACTTGTTTAAAATTAATTTGAATACTTTGTCTATTTGCAAGGGACATCAAAAGTAAAAATGTGCTGTTGAAAAACAATCTGACAGCTTGCATTGCTGACTTTGGGTTGGCGTTAAAATTTGAAGCTGGCAAGTCTGCAGGTGATACCCATGGACAGGTAAGGATGGTAACTACAAAATGTAAGAAAAATAATTTGTCCCATATTTTCTCAGAATGGCATATCTAGATTGAATTGATATAAAATTACTGTGATGGTTATTAAATCAGCTTTAATATAAAATGACTTTCTTAAAAGTAGTATGTTAAATTTGCTGAGGAAGACATTTTCATGTGTGGTGAAGGACTGTTAGGAACTCAAGTGGTTTAGATCAGTCAGTTCATAAAACAACCTAGACACGTCATGGGATTCTATTTTTAAAAATAATCAAGTTAATCCATTTAAATGGACCTCATTCTTAGGGAGTTCTTAGTAATAATGCAGTAGTTTTAATTCGTTAATTCTTTCATCATCCTAAGAGGAATGACAGAACAGTTACTATTCATGTTAGTATGTATTAAAGAATATCTATTGTTTGATTTTTCCACGCAACAATTAGTTTCTTGCTTCATGGTCTTTAGTGCTTCATTAATTCTTTAACCAACTTTACAGCTTTTTTTTGAATTCTCTCCAGTTCAGAGCACTTACAAAGCCCTGAGCAAAGAGCCTAATTAATTCTATCTAGTCAAGGTCTGTATGAAGAACTCTGAACAGTGGGAATCTTTAAGAAAGCCAAACAGGAGAAAAACATGATCCATACATTTTATTCTCAGAAACTGTGAGGCGGGGAAAGGTGGTGCTTTCATGCTTACAAGATCATCTTTTTATTAAGAAAACCAGTTTGACCTGAAAGGTGACATTTCCTTACAAAGTTGGCATGATTATTACTTCATCTTTCAAATCATGGAAATTATTTGTCATCTAGTTCTAAGCTTTCATTTTTCCCAGCATATCCTATGACCTCCAAGAATAGTTATTAAAGAACCACAGCATAACAAATTTTGGCAATATTGACTGAGGATAAGAATTTACACCAGTAGTCAGTAGTCCAAGTTCTAGAAAAGTTGACACTGTATGTGTTTGGGAATGAAGGCAGTCTTGTGGAGTCTGTGAGGGAGGTGGGAGATAGTGCAGGAAGCCTAGGGACAAACATCTGAGCTGACTGTGTCATTATTATAAAACTAAAATTGGGGGACAGTTTAATCCTCTGGTACCTCATAACCCTTCCCCCCTTTTCTTAAGAAAAAATTTTGAGACTTATTCCTGTCTTTTACTACCCTCTCAATTAGCTCACATGACGAGGTAAAAATAATTACCTACATCACTGGATCCTTGAGTTTAGACTTCATGGACCAGAAAATTTCAAAATTCAAGTTATTGTACACTTTATATATTGCAAATAAAGAACCCTGGAGAAAAATAAGATTTTTATCTTATTATAAAAGAGAGGGCGTTTTATACTAAGGAAAGGTAGTTGTCACTTTATAAGAAAAGTACTTTGGATAGCATACATTTGTCTTTAGGGGAAAAGTAAACTTTTTTTTTTCTTTGAAAAGTAAACTTTTGAGAAATGCTTGCTTATAGTACAGTTAAAGGAGCAAAAGAAGCAGAGCTACTTTTCTTTCTTTCTTTCTTTAGAGTGTTTTCATTATTAAATGAATTAAAAACTTGAGCTTTGGAGTTTTAGTGATCAACTCCTTTTTTTCTAGACATTTCTGTTGTATGTGTGTTCTCACATAGTTGTCTACCTTCTAATCTAGAGATCACTCACCTAAGGATGGAGCTTTTTGGAATACCATTATCTGGCCATTCCCTTGATCTCCAGAAACTGAATCTGTGATCCACCCAGCTATCCTCTAAGAATTTTTAAGCTTTCATATATGAATATTGTCAAGCACCAACCAAAGCTAGCTATAGTAGCTTAGTAACCATAGTTACAATACTAAGAAATACCAAATTGTTAGAGACAGAAATAAAGAATGCCAAGACAGAATTCATGAATAAATAAATACGTAGACTTTGTAGAAATAGAACTTTTAAAAGTTTATCCATTCTTTCCTGGGCTAATTCTTTTTAAGTTTTATATTACTATTTTTTTTGTTAATACAGAGAAAGAGAAACCCTTAAAAAAGAGTATTTTTTTTTCCTAAAGACACATTTCAAACAGGATGTAAAGGTACAATTGAGAAATACAGTTTTCTTGTCCTTATCTCTAACAAAACCACCATCGTTTTTAGGATTACTTCCAGAAGGGGGAAAAATTCTAAGCCAACGCCAGCACTGTGTCTGCTGGTATATTTATTGAGTATACCCAAAAGGGATCTCAGTATATATACTGCTTTGTTCCTTGCTGTACAGTGTTTTTGGAAATTTTTCCGTCTAAGTCCAGATTTACCTCATGTTTTTTAAGAGCTGCATAGTACTCTTTTTAAGAAGTCCCTGCTGATGGAAACTTCCCATTCCCAGTGTCTTGGCTGTTATTACTTGAATGCAATGCTCCTTGACTCTGTAGTCTGGTGGTCATAATTTAGTTACCTTACCTGATATGACAGCAGAACATACTTGGTTTTGATTCTTTTTACAAAATCTTAAAATGTTCATAAAGTTAATGAATGAGTATTGTTTGCTTTCATATCTTTTTCAGGTTGGTACCCGGAGGTATATGGCTCCAGAGGTATTAGAGGGTGCTATAAACTTCCAAAGGGATGCATTTTTGAGGATAGATATGTACGCCATGGGATTAGTCCTGTGGGAACTGGCTTCTCGCTGTACTGCTGCAGATGGTAAGGGAAAAAATATTTTTTTAAAAAAGATAATGCCTATTGCCTACTACACATACATGAAAAGGGATGATTACACTTAAAAGGTAATATTTCAAAGTACAAAATTTTTTTAAGTAGACTCCAAGAGGTAGTGGCTTAAAGAGAATTCAGGAGGCAAGGGATAGGGGCAGGCTGGAGAGGGAAGGTATGGGCACCTTTACCACTGCCAGGTGTTCTGTGCTAGGCACTTCACATACCGTTAGCTGATTTCCTAAGACTCCTTTGGAGGTAGTTATTAGTTTCATATAGGAGCAATTTGAAGCTCAAATTTTAAGTAGTAGAAATTGAGCAGATTGCTAATATTAGCTTCAGGGTGGTAAATGGTGAGACCAAGATTTGAAACTCTGATCCAGATGTAGGGATATGGCTGCTACTTTGTGGGTCCTGCAGGTCCTGCCTGCCCCCAGGTTGCAAAAGTCAACTCTTTTGGCCAGAGGAGGTAAATGAAGGATTGGGGGATTTTCCCTCCCAGGACACTCAAGGCTGAGTCTGTTCATCACTCCCATGATGTCAACATACACTTAACCAGACTGAATTTACAGTCCATCCTCCATGACACAAAATGGAGCATGCCTTTGGATATACCACAGGTTAAATTCTGCCTCCTCAATGCCTTAAAAGTCTGAGCTGATGTAGAGGTTATTATGAATGCTAGTTATATTCTCTCACACCTTGGTTCTAAAGGATTCTTATTCTTTGTTTTTGTTATGTAAGTCCTTGTTTAAGTCCTACAAATATTTGCACGGATCGATTGATTATAAGCTTGTATACTGTTCCTGGTGTTAACAAAATTATAGTGTGCTAGGTACTGTCTTCAGTGCTTCTCAGAAGGTCTCCATTCTCTTCACTTGTGTTACAGCACTTTTTTTGGACGTGAAAAATATAAAGCAGACATTTCGACAAATGTAAATTAGCTCGATCCTTTTTTTAAAAAATTTACAATTACCTAAAAACTTCCTGCAGATTGTGAAAAGACCTTAGAAGATTTAGTATATTTAAGCCAACTTAACATGTATTTATAAGAATACTTTGTTTTCTGAGTACTGTAATGGTGTCTCAGTGTAGGACAGACTACCTCTGGTACGTGAAATTTGATTTGGGGTACTATGGTTTTAAAAGGAGTTTAGTAGAGAGTGGTCAGGAATGGACAGCCATTCATTCTTCTAAGATTGGGAGTCTGGCATGGGGTGGATCCAGACCCAAGAAAGTCTGAAGCAGTTTGGTTTAATTCTAGTGTAGTTTGGCTCAAAGTGGAAGATGAAGTACATTATGTGCATTTATGGAAGCAGAAATAGGTCAGATGGCAGATGTTATAGGAAAATGCATTTTATAAAAACTTTCATAATATGAACTCTCCAGAACCAACCACTGGATATGGTGTCGTGGGGATATATACAAGACCCTGCCCTTAAGCAATGTATAGTTTAATTACAGGGATAAAATACATCCTGGGGGGCACCTGGGTGGCTCAGTGGGTTAAAGCCTCTACCTTCGGCTCAGGTCATGATCTCAGGGTCCTGGGATCAAGCCCCACATGGGGCTCTCTACTCGGCAGGGAGCCTGCTTCCCCTTCTCTCTGCCTTTCTGCCTACTTGTGATCTCTCTCTCTCTCTCAAATGAATAAACAAAATCTTTAAAAAAAAAAAAAAAACTCAGGAAAGATAAATCAATTACAAGACATATAATTAAAAAAAAAATACATCCTGGACAATTGACTCTAGATTAAGGTTAGTGTGAATTGTCTAGTTCTGTGTGTAGTATTCATTAGTATTAGATATTCAGTAAGTTATTCTGGACGAGTATAATACCTGAAGAATATTGAGAGGGTTATGGGAGTTGAGAGGAGTGAAAAATTCTTTGTTTTGCATTTTTGCATTTGCAGTAGAGTGGTTATCAGGGAAGTTTTTATGAAAAGTGAAAAGGACAGGTACTGGTATTTCTAAAATGCTTTCCATGTGCTGTGAAGTACTTGCAGAGTCGGGAATTTCAGACCCTTAAGTCAGAAATTGGGGCAGGAGGGGACAGTGTGAACATTGCTAAAGTGAGTACTTTAAAATTTGTTGATGGCAAAGTTCAGTGACTCTCACACTTTAATGTGTACTAAACTCCTGATAAAGTTCATATTCTGACTCAGTAGGTCTGGGTTGGGGCCTGATACTTAAATTTCTTGCAGGCTCATAGTCAGTGCCATTGCTGCTGAGCAGTTTTGAGTAGGAGGAGCTGAACAGACACTTTAGAATGTCACTGGAAGTGCTAAAGCAGAGATGGACTATCCAGGCCATCAAGGATTCTTCCATTTAGAAAGGGTAGAGTTACGTGTCCTCCTTCATGACTCATTATTTATAATTTATATCCCATCCAGGAGTAGGAGTATCTGTGCAAGGTTTAGGTCTGTATACAGGCCCTTTGTATGAAATCGGTCTCTAGTGAGTGGTTTCTGTCAAGGGGAGACCATACAGTGATCGAAAACACGGACTTCAGCGGCAGAGATGGATTCAAATTCCAACTCTACCACTTAACAACTGTATGCCCTTGTGCAAATTATGCAACTTTTCTGAGCTTCTTTCCTATCTGTAAAATAGAGGTAATGTCACCTTCATTCTGTGGAGGTGTAAAATGGAAGGAAATAATGTATGTAAAGTTCCTAGTCAGGGTAAGTGCTTATTAAGTATTAGTATTAACTCATAACTGCATTTTCCTATTTGAGTATGCCTAAGAAAAAAGGAACCATTTATTTTGGTGAATAAGTTTTGTCTGTGAAGGCACATTCTGAAGGCTTATTGGGAACCCTGTATGGAGTATGCTTGTGATTTTTTTAAGACTATTTTTGGCAGCTTTTGTGAGGGCAAGGAGGTGTAACTCTGAGGTATGTAATTCCTCATGCAGAGCATGTAGAGGGTAAAGATGTGTCTCAGGATAAAGATGGTTGTAAGAGACTAACCCCCAAATCGTCAGATAGAATCACCACTGTTTACAGTCTGATATGAATTGTGGGAAGTACTTAAAGGGATATTATAGCCTGGATTTGCAAATATTGTTGATTCCCTGTGGTCCTATCTATGTATGGAGATAGGCAGTTCTCATACAGCAGATGAGAAAGCTCCTTGCGCAAACTTAGCAGGCTTATGTGCCAAATTGTAGAGTTTTTGATTTCTCTTAAATTAGCATTTGGGTCATACTGTGGTAGAAGTAGTTGAGAGAGTGTTTTTCTCCTGTCATTATATAGCATTTAACAGTTGGGAAAAGGTGATACAGAGTATATTTCAGAAGGGTTGTTCCAGTTTGGAAGTCAGGAAGATTTGAATTAAAATGGTTTTGTTTCCCCCCTCACCCATTACAGGACCTGTAGATGAATACATGTTGCCATTCGAGGAGGAAATTGGCCAGCATCCATCTCTTGAAGACATGCAGGAAGTTGTTGTGCATAAAAAAAAGAGGCCTGTTTTAAGAGATTATTGGCAGAAACATGCTGTAAGTTACAGTTAGCTTTTCATTTGAAATTCCAATAAAATGCTTTTCAGAGGAATGATTTCTATCTCTGCACACTTCTCTTCTGGGACGGTTTTTCTGGAGAGGTTACCTTCATACAGGATATTCTGTCTAGAGTTCTATAAACAATAGAATTTTAGGGCTAGGGGCGCCTGGGTGGCTCAGTGGGTTAAAGCCTCTGCTTTTGGCTCAGGTCATCATCTCAGGGTCTTGGGATCAAACCCCGCATCGGGTGCTCTGCTCAGTGGAGAGCCTGCTTCCTCCTCTCTCTCTTTGCCTGCCTTTCTCCCTACTTGTGATTTATGTCTGTCAAATAAATAAATAAAATCTTAAAAAAAAAAAAACTTAGGGTTTTAAGGGAAGATGGTGAAGTCATAAAACGTAAGGGGCTGACAGTACTATGGTCTTGTGTTTGTCTTGTTTGGAAATCTTCCCAGGGAAAGGAGTACCTGGCTCTGAGCATGTGGATAGGTGGGTAACTTTGATGATCACCAGCTTCCCATAAGATGCTATTTTTAAAGTAAAGCAGTTTTCTGCTCTCCGTGTTTTTGATTTGGGATTGGAATTTGTTGAGGTTCTTAGGAATGCTCTTAAAACTAGAGACTTAGGTAAGTGAAGAATGGAACACTATTGCCGTGGTTATTTTGGTCCAAATATAACTGGAAACATGGATTAAAACCAGGTAGAGAATCTCAAGGATGCTTTTCTAACCCTTTTTTTTTTTATTTATTTAACTGCAAGACAGAAATGCTGATATTAACTAAGAAAACAATAAAAACTGGTTAAAAAACAAATTTAGCTTTGGCTTTGAGTCCAGATCAAGGGTTAGCATTGAACTGACCTGGTTTATATGGGGATTTGGGGAATTAAAAAAATTTTACTACCTCCTATGACAGTCGCAGAAGTTTGGAAGCTGTAGGAATTCTGATTTTTCTTAGTGCTTTTCTTCCATTTCCTACATACAATAGATATTCATAAGTGAATGCTGACATATAACATCTAACTTGGCTAATCTTGGAACTTGACTCTCACATACCAGTTTCTTTATGGACATTTTATTGTTTCCTAATAGAAAACAAAATCGGCTGTGGTGTTTGAGTATGTTTTTCCTTTTTAGGGAATGGCAATGCTCTGTGAAACAATAGAAGAATGCTGGGATCATGATGCAGAAGCCAGGTTATCAGCTGGATGTGTAGGTGAAAGAATCACTCAGATGCAAAGACTAACAAATATCATTACCACAGAGGACATTGTAACAGTGGTCACAATGGTGACAAACGTTGACTTTCCTCCCAAAGAATCTAGTCTATGATGGTTGCACCATGTGTACACAGTGTGAAACAGGACTCTGAGCTGGAGCTGCTAAGCTAATGAAACTGCTTACAGTTAATTTTCTGTGAGAAATGAGTAGGAGGTCTCCTGGACATGTCAAAAAGACGACCCTCACGTTTAAAAATGTGGCTCTGGGAGACTTATGGCATTGCCTGCAGAAGAGACGTGAAGGACATGAGACTTGGAAAAGCTGCAGACTCTATAAAGAAACTTTTGAAAAAGTGTACATGAAGAACGTAGCCCTCTCCAAATCAAGGATCTTTTGGACCTGGCTAATCAAGTGTTTGAAAACTGACATCAGATTTCTTAATGTCTGTCAGAAGACACTAATTCCTTAAATGAACTACTGCTATTTTTTTTTAAATCAAAAACTTTTCATTTCAGATTTTAAAAAGGGTAACTTGTTTTTATTGCATTTGCTGTTGTGTTTCTATAAATGACTATTGTAATGCCAATATGACACAGCTTGTGAATGTTTAGTGTGCTGCTGTTCTGTGTACATAAAGTCATCAAAGTGGGGTACAGTAAAGAGGCTTCCAAGCATTACTTTAACCTCCCTCAACAAGGTATACCTCAGTTCCACGGTTGCTAAATTATAAAATTGAAAACACTAACAAAAATTGAATAATAAATTGATCCATGTTTTGTAACAAGGTATTACAAATTCACTGTGTTATTTAAGAAAAAAAGGTAAGCTATGCTTAGCGCCAACACTAAGTGGCCATTCATAAAGCAGTGTTTTAGCTTTTTTTGTGCTAGCTTGTAATTTAAGGAAAAAAAGTGCTGTTTTTTGCAATGAAAAAAAGATGTCATTTTCCCCTTCTTCCCACGTTTTAGAGCTTCATCTTCTATCCAGTTCCCAAATTATTGCATACTTATTTAAGTATTTTTTTTTTTTAAGGTGTGCTGTGTTTGGGGAATATTTGAAAATTTAAAGCATGATTTAAATTTTTTAAAGTGAGCTATGACACTGGAAAGCTCTTCATTTTTATTCTTTTAAAATAGATTTTTTTTTCCTATTTATATATGTAAAATTGTAGTGTATTTCTTTTCACCAAACAGTGTGTGGGACATTCTTAATCACTGTTTAAGGATCACCTCAGGAAGTGTCATTATCCAGAATTCCTCATTCTCTGCTTTGAGACTTGTAACTTTATCACTATATTTCTGCTTGGTGCCATCTTGTCAGAGTAATATTTGATGTCTGTGATATGTAAAGAATTATCCTAGGATAGAGGTTTTAAATTTTAAGCACAGATCTCAGATGTTACTGCTTTAAAACAAATCAGGGATAACAAGTTAAACTTAAAATATGCAATGACATTTAGAGGTAACCGATGTTGATATAGGTAATATAGCCTAGCCTCCTCCCGCAAATTGCTTTCAGAAACAACTATGATTTTTAGGATAGTTCATGCCTTATCCTTGATAAGAAAGTGGAATTGATGGTAGGTAGGTGCCAAAGTGCTTTTCAAAACAATATTGCATCAGAATATAATTGGATTGTTCCTCAAATTTATATAGGCCAAAGTAAAACAGTAATTTCCTGAATTTCTAGATTACTGACCAATAAATAGCCAGTATTACACTATGTACTTTAGTCAGGTCATTTTAAAATCCATACATTGATTTTATAAAAGAATTTTTTACATGTCACTATCAGGAGCTCACTGTGAATGTATTATCTTCAAATGGCTATTTAACCACACAGTACACTACATTTTACATATAATGTGCACTTAATCTCTGGGAATAATAAATTATATAATTTATAAATAATGCATAGGTCAACAGACTCTAAAGCAGGGAGGAAAGAAGAGTAACAGCATTGTTGTCTGTGTGCCACACACCATGCAGAACTTTGTGCTCTTGGGTCTCATATGTACCCAAGTTTTCACTGTATTCCTAAGAATTCCCTTTTCAATGTTGAGTTCACCTCTTTATTTCAAAAAGGACCTGACATCTCAATTGATTTGGTTTAACTTCCACTTTGAAACTAATCAAGATGAGAAACTGACAATGTTCACACATGGAAATTGTCAATCTCCCAAAGACTAAGTTCTACCTGTTCTAAACATTTAATCTCATTTTTAAAAGTAAGAAAAAAATCAAAACAAAAACAAGGAGTATTATGATGAATGTTTGGCTTATGTGAGCACTAGTGATAAATTTTATAAGATCAGTTATTCAAGATAGTTTTCTCTTCATGTTAGAAAAAATTTTTAGACATCCTGGGTATTGTACTTAACTCTAGCTAACCAACTTTAAGACTTGTATCCTTTTGAAAACTATATTAATAGAAAAACACTTTTTATAAGCAGTAAAATAAGAATGTTCCAATGACTACCTGTCCTGATACCTAATCTTGTTAAAACTTTCATTTGCAGGGCATTTTCATGTTTGGTTTACAGTCAGCATAGAGTGGGCAAGCTTACAAAAAGTTTGAGCTAGGGATACTGAAAAAAGAAAGATCAAAGAATGAGAAAAACGATGACTTCTTTGTTTGGGGGTGAACTGAGACCCCAATAATTTTTTCCTCATGTGTATGGTGCTCCTTATGATTCGTCTTGTATTTTGCCTTTCTGATACCCATCAGAACTGCTGCTCTAACTTCCACTCTTTACCTTGCCCAAATCTCCATGTAAGGAATGCTTTATGATCAACTGCCATAGGACTGATGGATTAACCAGTGTTTGGCTTTATTCGAAGTCTTTGCCCTGCACAGCTCTTGTATGTATTTTAGATGCTAGGAAGTTTTTAGCATGTGAAGTGTGACTCTTGTTTGAATGTTTATTACAGGTACCTTGTGAATTCCAGAACAGAGACTGTGCCTCAAAATTGTTGGTCCCATGAACTTGCACTATCTTTCATGGTGATGTTTTGAAAATATAATCAGGAGAAAAACCCAACAAGTTTGGAATTTAAAAAGAGAATTATATACATAAAATTTAAAAAGAACCTTTTTCTTCCTCCTTTCCTCAATCCTAAGTAATAACTACATTTAAGTAAAATGCAGGCAGGTAGGGGAAAAAATACCCTGGCCAGATGATAAGTTTAAGTGGAATTAAACTTACTATTTAAAAAACAAAAAATGCTTCTCCACAAATATTTTCCAGTTTCTCTTTTTTACCTTTTTAAAAAATTACTTTTTAGAAACATTTGGTATAATGTGCATAAAATTATTTACTGATTTATGGGTAAAATGATACAAGTAGCATCTTGATTGAACATCATTTACCTCAGATATTCAACCAGCAGTACATTTTTTACGCAGTCTCAATCCATATCCTATTTGTTACCTCTCAAAATATTGGTAAGCAATTATTTTAGCTTTACTCTGTAATTCTTGTCAGTGTTTTGGGCACAGGTTGTTGTACTACTGTCAAATTGTACTTGCTATTTTTTTCTGCAAGTATTTAACAAAAAGCTTAAAAAAAAAAAAAAAAAGCCCCTAAAACTCCACCTTGAGTAAGTGATTGTTAAATATTGTACAATAAAATGTATGCTATCCCCATTCCATCCTCGAGTTAAATAAAAAAATGAATATGGTATATGATTTGCTTATGCAGTTTTTCTTTAGCTATACATTTTCCTTCAAGAGGGGAACAGTAGCTTTGTCATTTATGGTGAGGCTCACACCTTGAGATATGGAAGAATGGGGATAGTGGTGAAAGTTTGTAAAGGGTTGACGTTTCCCCCCTTTACTACCCAAGACTATTCACAAAGTATGTATGTTAGTCTTGCCAGTTTTAGGAAACCAGAGGCTAGCAGGCATTAGTTACCTTCTTTTCATATGGAAATAGAAAGATGTGGCTTAGGAAATAGTCATCAAAGATACAAACCACACTTCCTAAGGATGTTAACTAATTTACTAACTCAATGGAAGAATTCTGGTATTTTCACTTAGGGTGATCAGTAAGCGCAATTGTCAAGGAAGCTAGCTTTCATTTATATTTTTAATGTTGCCAAGGCTTTTGTTTATCCTCGGGCTTTTAAAAGAGGGGATGGAAAGCCCCACGGTGGGAGCTGTGTTACAGTTCACACCAATGGGATTCTCAATATATTTTAAGGTAAAGGTGAAGGAAAGAAACAACGCTTAAGTAACAGTGGTTTAAAAGAACCTGCATTGGCTTCTAAACCTCGTGAAAATGAAAACTGTGGTGGAATATGCAGTGAATCTACACTGAAAGACTGAAATTGCTTTCCACAGCATGTTCTGCAAAATGGATTCTTTGGGAAGTTAATACATAGTATATACTCAACATACATAGCATTAAGATACTGTATGTTTGGACCAGCAAGTTTTAATTCCTCAGAGCCATTCACATGCACATGCACATGAACTAGAGAAGAAGATCCTGTTTTGGATAAGGTACTTGGAAGGGTCACATGAGTCAAAACTGCACAGAAGCCTCTAACACTCTGTTTTGCTAACCTTTTTTCTAATTTAAGAATTGCTTCAATGAAAATGAAAACCCACCCTGCTACTTATAGTCTTACAATCTGTATACTGGGTGTTGATGGATCTTCTGCAGGTCTTCTGTAACCAGGAAGGCAGATGAGAGCTTTCAGCCTTTTAGTGGCAATCTTAGGCTAGTGAATTGCAATCCTGAAATCAAGTTCTTTAGATGCTTTCACAGTGAGTGCATTTAAAACAGATAATACTTCCTTAAAATGGCTCAGAAACTTTTTTAGAGAGAAAACTTAAGCTCATGTGTAAAATCCTTGCTTCCAGTAATAGTGATGCTACCATGCTAAGTATTTTGGCAAAATATCCCCTAAAATCTGTAGATTATTGCATAGAACCAGAATGCAAGCCTTACCTTTACTGAAACACTGCTGAAAAGTAAATGACAGTGATCTGAAGACTTAGAAGGCAGGGAAAGAACAGCTACATCTGCAAAAAAATAGGTTGAACTGAAGAGCTACTTTTTACACACAGAAATATTATAGTCCATTCTATACCTGACACTTCTTGAAAAACCTGGTAAATAATTTCTTAGAGCATACTTTAAAAAAAAAAAAAAGTACGGCAAGAACCTGTTAAGGAATTTAAACTCTGGACAGTGGGGCTTTGGTGTCAGTCAAACCTGAGTTGAATTCCAGAGTGTGTCAATCATTCTCTACCTGTGTGATTCCGAACACTGCCACTAGTATGTCAGTTTTTTCTCAACTGTAAATAACAGTCCCTGAATATCACAGGGCACTTGTTAAAAGGATTATGAAATACACAAGGACAGGGACTGTCTTTTGAAAACATTATGCAATCAAATGTTCTTAAATAAATGGAAGTCACTAACAACTTAGCAACTGCTTATTAAATTTCATTTTAAATAGGTACCTGAAATAGTTCCCGGACTCCTAAATTTATAAGGTGAGCATTTCTACATTGCCTTTAGGGATTTACTTTTTGATACAAGTTTAGTCAATAGTGCCAAACACTTACCATTAATTGCGGGAATGTTTTTCCAGGCATTTCCTAAAGTCCCTGTTAAAAAAGACAAATTCTGATCCTTTGGGCCTATGACAGGCCCAAGAATTTGCCTTTTAAAAAAATAAATAAATAAATAAAAAAAACATCATTTCATGAAATCTTTAATGAAATGGAAAGAATTTGCCTTTTAAAAAATTCTACAAGGGATTCTTCTATATGTGATAAGATTAAGTACCACCTTTTGAGAAGCCTGGAAGAAATTCATATTCAAACTTTTCACCTTTTTCTTCCGTGTGAACTATCTTCTGGCCAAAATGGTCAGTCTCCTGAACTAAAAGACCTGGGTCCGGGATAGAATCCAGAATCTCCATGGATAGAAAAAAACAAAACAAAAAAAATGTGGAACCTCCCAGTAGAACAAAAGATTGCTCAGTACACCTCAACTCTTACCACTGTTTCTTTACTGCTTGAAGATTTGTAAAAACACTTGGCTGCTGGGTTGAAATGAACTCTTCAAATATACCGCATAAGTACTTGACAAGTGTTAAATAAGCATATGGTTCACTCCCTAAAACAGTCACATTTATTTCTTTGAACTGCTACTTACAACATAATCTAAAATCACTGAAATTATAAATCATGTAACTGCTCATGATTCAAAGGCAAGACACAGCCAAGACACTACATGTGTAACAGTCTCCCATAAATACAAAAATACATGTTTATAAATATAAGAAAATGTAGTAACATATCTTGTTAAAGGACAATAGGCTTTGAGTTCCTTACAGAAGATTGCCTGAAACTTTGTAACTGAAGCCACCGGTTATATTCATAACCAGCTTAGTGAGGATGTTGCCCACTGCCTAACATCTGTAGGACAGTTGGGGTATTTCTGCAAAGCATTCATAATTTGAGTATTATCCAAAAGTAGTTTCATCAGCTGGTACTCTCTCTGTGTATTTACCGAAGTCCTTTCCACAGGCCTTATTAATTCTAATTGTTGTAAGTGTTCAAATGCCTGGAAGATGAAAGAAATAGTTTAGGTTGAATAGGGGAAGTAAAATAATAACATTAATCCAGAGAACAATTAGGGTTGCTGTTAACCGTAAAAGAGTGCCAGGAAACAAAACTTAACAGAAATCAGTAGGGATCAAAAACAACTCTCATCAACCTCATAAGAACTTCATCTATCTATCAGGTGAAGCAGTATCAATATACAGTTATCTGTCCCTGCATTGTTGAATGTGAACAGGGCAAACTCTAATTCAGTCTACTTAATATGGTTTTTCTTCCAATCCTCATTCTGTACCATATCACCTGCTTGTACTTAAGGGAAGGGCTTCTAGTTCTCTCTATAAAAACTGAACAACTAATAAGACCAGGACTTTTAACTAATTATCTAGGTGATTCAAATTTGCATTTACAATCTCTTTCTAGTTGTTTTTTTTTTTTTTCCTTCTCTTTCTAGTTTTGTAAGACTTTGCTATATAGAAGTTTAATGCAGCTGCAAAAAAAGCTAGGGGCAGAAAACCCCCTAGGAGTACACCAAGCCTGTTTGGCCGACCCTATAAATAAATGATTCAGCGGAGTGGTATGGGCATGAAGGAAAGAAGACAGGCTCCTTTTTCCCTAAGAAGTCTGCAGAGCATGCCACAACCTGTCAAAAATTCCCTTTCTTCCATCTCCCCCCTCTTAAAAGGGTTGTTTACGGTTTCCTCTCACCTCTAATATTCATGTATTATGTCTTTTCTAACCCTGATTATTGTTTTAGGTATTTTATTAGCATATCAAAAAAAGGAAACCATTAAATCATGACATAGTAACCATTAAAATACTAACACAGTGAAATAGATTCTGGAGCTATTACAACCCACCTTGTAAAAAATATCACTGGAATATATTCTTTATGTATCATAAAAAGTCTGATGAAAAGAGAAATAGACACCATTCATTTCTAAAAATGAGAAAATACTGGAGGAATACTGAAGCTGCAGGTATTATTGGGGCAGAATAAAACTGAAATTTAAAATATTTCTAGGCAGCAAAATAGTTTAAAATACAGAATGACCAGGTACAAAATACAAATCACTCAAGAATTTAAATGTTCATGTAACCCTTTGTATTCATACAACCTTCACAAACTATGACTATCACACAGACATGGACATTAGGAAGGAAAAAAAAAACAAACTTCAGTAGGATAAATACTTTCCCTGTTGTTCTGAAGAAAGGGTAATGCCCTGTACTCACATTTTTTATTTGGTACAAGAAACAGAATTCTGACCACTAAGGCCTATAAAGGATGATAAAGGACTTAGGGGTCCACTGCTGGAGGGGAGGGGAGGGAAGGCGTAGGAGAATGCAGGGGGGAGGAAGGGAAGGGAAAGAGAGAAAAAGAAAGAGAAAAAGAAAAAGAGGAAGAGGGAGAGGAAGGGAAGGAAAGGGAAGGAAAGGAAAGGAAAGGAAAGATGTTTTTCCCCATAAAGTCCTCCAGAGCTGCGCAGTCCAGCAAGGTAACCACAGAGGGCTACTATTATTCGTGTAACTTGATTTTTAATTTTATTTAAGTTTATTAAGTTTAACTTAAAATTTGATACTCTAATCATTTAGAAAATTTTAAGTTAGTGGAACAATTGAGAATGTACATCTACTTCAGCTACAAATTTTATGAAATCTAAAGAGCAAGTAATTCCAATGAATTCTTAGTGAATTAAGTATAAACACATGAAATTTCAAAGAATACAAAAGAAAATGAAGTTTTTCATTAATAATTTTCTGTATCAATTATAGATTAAAATGTTTTTGGTATATTAGGCCAAATAAAAATTATCATTAAAGTTAACTTTGCCTTTTTAAACTTTTTTGCTGGTACTAGAAAATCCAAAATTACACTATGTGGCTCATATATTTCTAGTGGACAATGGTACACTCTAATGAAGTTCCTCAAGTTTAAAAACTCATGACTTAACCAACCCTTAATAAAACTTTATATGTCCTCACTAGCCCATATTTTATCTTTTAGTTTTTTAATGGCTAATATCTGCATTTTTTCTTTTTACTGCTACGATTATAAAGCCAACCCCTGGGTTGTAAAGGGACAGAATTTTACTGATGAACTGCAACGTATAGTTCTTTGTATAATGCAGTGCTAGAAACAGACAGTAGAGGGCAGTATAATTGCACAAACTGGGAAATATCGGGCTGCCTTAGAATTATTCAAACATTTTGAGATTAATTTTTGTCTACCATACAAAAAAATTTCTATGATAAATACCTAATGTTTCAAAGTTAGTAAGAGTTCAAATATGACATATACAATCAAACTGGATGTAAAAATCTACCTGTATTCAGAAAAATAACAGTCAACTTAAATCTTACCTTCATGACAACATGTTTTTCAAAATTATAAACAGAATGGGCTTTCCTTTGAACAAACTTCTGAAACTCTGGATAGAAAGCATAACAACATTAACACCCTCAAATAGGCAGTGAGGTAGAGTCAGAAAGAAATCAAAGTTTCATCTCACCATTATAGACCATTTGAAAATTAAAGGGCTCCTCTTCATAGATGTCATTTAAATGTTTCATTGCTATTATAAGACAGATTTCCAAAACTGACAGACCTATATAGTAAAAGGAAAACAAATTATGAGTTGTATGTTAACTTACTGATCCATAAGATTGAAATAACTGTCCTCCAAAGAGAATGATAAAGTGAAAGACCATTGTTCTGAGGGGTGGCAGGAGATCAAGACATCCCCCAGGTTCAAATTATCTTTCAGTCACTATTACTTATACAATCCTAAGCAAACAGCTCAACCTTCCTGGGCTTAGCTTTCATATAAGCAAACTAAGAATCTTCTTAAGCTTACAGAGATGTTATAAGAATTAGAGAGAGTATTATCAAGCACTGATCACATGGCTCGTAATAAACATAAACTGGCCCTTCAACTGTGTACTTTATATATTTTTAAAAATTTTATTTATTTGAGAGAGAGAAGACCAGGCTCCCCACTGAGCAGAGAGCCCGACCCAGGGCTCTTGAGATCATGACCTGAGCCGAAGGCAAACACTTAAGAGAATGAGTCACCCAGGTGCCCCTGCAATTATGTACTTTAAATCACATGGGGTCCTTGACTATTCATAAGAAACCCTGAACACCTGGAAATTATATTTACTTTTTTTTCTAAAATAAGAAAATTCATTAGATTCTTCAAAGGGAGAGTGAACCTTCAATGCTAAGGCTCTCTAGTGGCACCTAATGCAATGTGAACACCTGCATTACAAGTCTTAGCTGGACTTCCAATGTAACAAGGCAGGGAGAGAATCAGTATTCTTCCACTTTAAACGGGAGTCATAATACCTTTTGTGGGGCTTAAAGGCTACATGGATTTAAAAGTAGTCTGTATTATACCCAATGTTAAGTATAATTTTGAAAGAATTCCATTATGTTAACTTAAATTTATAAAAAACTAATTAAACAGGCGTCTCACCATGTACAATATTTGCTTTAGAGTCCATGCTGCACAACTGGTTTGCCTCCATCAGATCTGCTGCAGTCATAAACGGGTGTGATGTTGTTACACGATTTAAAGCAAGCATCTAGGGAAATGTGGATCAGAAAAACATTTACACGTTTACTTAGGCATTCTGGAGATATTACTGAACAAAACTTCTTAATTTGGAGTCTATTCTTATGGGAGAGCTAATATTAATGCTTGGGAAAGGTATTCTCACACTTGGCTCTATTAAAATATAGTGTTCCAATACATATGTCATATAGGTCTATAAATGTAAAGCATAAAAAAAAGTTCTTGCTGCTCTACCTCTTCCTACTTGTGTACCTTACTTACAACTCCTCAAAAGAAAACACTTAAAAAGGAGTAGAGCAAGAAGAGATAAAAAATAGGTAAGAATGCTGTTCAAAGGTTATTTTGATTTCACAGGAAAATAGAGTAGGGAAGTTACCTGAGCTCACTTTCTTCCACAGACACAAGACTGCAACAACATACAAAGCAACTCTGAGAATGCTCTGAAAACTAGCAGCTTAGGAGTGTGTGTGTGTGTGTGTGTGTGTGTGTGTGTGTGTGTGTGTGTCTGTGTATGCAGCTGAAGATATTTTTAAAAGCCACACTGAGAAGGGTAAAAAGAGGCAGAAATATGGTTGGGGTAGGAACCATACACCGAGTGCAGCGATCCACAGCAGATGGTGTGGAGGTCCTTCCTGAGGAGTGAGGGGTTCAGATCCCACACTGGGCACCCTCTGCCTTGGTTATCTGTACCAGGAAGACAAGTCCCTATAATGCATGGCTTCGAAAATCAGAGGGGCTTAATTTTGGGAGAGCCAGAGGGACTACAATTGGAGACTCTATTCTCATAGGGCATATACACAATTTCAATTGCTCAGAGGCAACAGTTTGAAAAACACCTGGGCCATATGGGAAGGTATACTTCACTAAGGCATACATAGTGCTGGAAGAACAAGGATCTGTAGGAGCTTTCTTTGGAAATGGAAGTGCTGGAAGCACTATTTTTCTTGTTTTCCTTCAGGAAAGCTAGTTAGATGCTTGTAAGAGCCAGTTGTGACACTATTCATCTGTCTCATTAGGACCACTATCCACGCCAGGGGAAATTCCCCTGTGGAACTGCACTGTATTAATCACCCACTAGGTAGGTATTCTTCCAAGTAAGTCCTACCCAAGGGAAGGGGAACCAACCCCACCCGCCAGCAAGCACACAAGAGTCTTGGTGGGATCTCACAATGAGCCACAGAGAGGCTACCCCCACCCACCTGCCCTGAGCAGCCACAGCCAGGTCTCTCAGATACCTGGGCTGGGACCAGCTCCACACACTGGTGTGCCTCCAATAGTTGTGGTGAGGCATTGCTGCCATTTGGGTCAGGAACCAGCCCTGACAAATGTACCCTCAGCAGTCGGGGCCCAGTGACAAGAGATGTGCAAGCAACCCACATAAAACAGCCCTGAAACTCCAGATCTAGTGACCCGAAAGGATTGTACTTCTGGGCTCCAGAGGATGCCTTCTACATAAGGCTGCTACTTCTAGGATCAAGAGATGCACTACCTAATATAAACAAACACTACATCAGACAAAATGAGGAGACAGAAGAGTATGTTCCAAATGAAAAAGACAGAACTTCAGAAAAAGAACTAACCAATGGAGTTATGTAAGCAATCTGCCTGATAAAGATGTCAAAATAATGGTCATAAAGATAATCACCAAACTTGGGAGTCAAGTGGATGAACTCAGTGAGAACAAGCAGATGAATTTAGTAAGAACTTCAAAAAAGAGATAAGAAATATAAAAAAGAATCAGTCACAGCTGAAGAATACAGTAAGTGAAATGAATAAATGATTAACGGAAGAATGGATCAGCAATCTGGAAGACAAAGTAATGGAAAGGACCCAAGTTGTATGGCAAAGAGGAAAAATAATTTAAAAAATGAGAATATGTTAAGGGACCACTAGGACAACATCAAGCATACTGACGTTCACATTCTAGAGGTCCCAGAAGAAGAAAGAGAGTAAGGGGCAGAAAATTTATTTGAAGAAATGATAGCTGAAAACTTCCCTAATCTGGGGAAGGAAATAGACATCCAGGTCCAGGAAGTACAGGAAGCCTCAAAGAAGACAAATCCAAGGTCTACATGCACGATACATAATATTCAAAGTGCTGAAAGGAAAAAACCTACAACCAAGAATATTCTATATAGGAAGATTATTATTCAGAATTAGAGAAAAGTTTCCAAGATAAAGTTTCAGAAATTCGTCACCACTGAACCAGCCTTACAAGAAATGTTAAGGAACTTCTTTAAGCAAAAAAGAAAAGGCCCTAAGAGGAAATTTAAAAATTACTAAAGAAAAATTTCATTGGTAAAAGCAAATATATAGTAAAAGGAGGAGAGCAATCAATTATAAAGCTTGTAGGAATATTAAAAACTAATAAAAATCAACTATATCTTAGTTAAGGTATATCCTAAGTAAAAAGATGTAAAACGTGAGATCAAATACATAAAGTGTGAGAGTGGGAGGAGAGTAAACATTTAGTGCTTTTAAAATGATTTTCGTTTGTTTCTTATGTACGCTCAATGCCCAGTGTGCAGCCCAATGTGGGGCTTGAACTCATAACCCTAAGATAGAGACCTGCCCCGGGATCAAGAGTTGGACATTTAACCTAAAATGCTTTTGATTTTAAGCAACTACCAACTTAAAATAGACTGCTAACATACAGTTGAGCCTCATGGTAACCACAAACCAATTTCAAAGAGGTACACAAAAAATAAAGAGAAAGGAATCCAAACATAATACTAAAGAAAGTCATAAAATCATAAGACAAGAGAGCAAGCGAAAAAAGGAACAGAAAAGAACTATTAAAAACAAACAGAAAAAAATTCAAGGGCAATAAGTACATACCTATCAATAACCACTTTTAATGTCAACGGACTAAGTGCTCCAATCAAAAGGCATAAGGTTGCTGAACAGATTAAAAAAATAAGACCCATCTACATGCTGCCTACACAAGACTCACTTCAGGCCTAAGGATACATACACACTGAAAGTGAAGTGATGGAAAAAGCCCATGCAAATGTGGGGGTGGGGGAAGGCCAGGGTAGCAATGCTTATACCAGACAAAACAGACCGTAAAAAAAAACAAACAAACAAGGACTGTAATAAGACACAAAGAAGAACATCATATAAAGGGATCAATCCAATAAGAGAATATAATAACTGTAAATACATATGCACCCAACACAGAAGCACCTAAATATATAAAGCAAATATTAACAGACACAAAGGGAGAAACTGACCATAATACTATAATTTTATAATTATAATTACATTTTAATTACAATTTAACACCCCTTACATCAACAGATTATCCAGTCAGAAAATCAATAAGGAAACGCCAGCCTTAACAGACTTAGCCATATGGATTCAGCAGATAGCTACAGATCATTCCATCCAAAAACACTACCAAAAGCATTCCTGTCAAGTGTATGTAGAATATTCTCCAGGACAGGTTACACATTAGGCCAGAAAACAAGTCTCAATAAATTTAGTTAAGAATGAAATTATATAAAACATCTTTTCTGAGCACAATGGTATGAAACAGGAAATCAATCACAAGAAAAAAAAAAAGAAAAAATCATAAACATTTGGAGACTAAACAACATCTGGAGACTAAACAACATAATGAGTTAACAAAGAAATCAAAGAGATAGCAAAAAACTACATGGAGGCAAATGAGAATGTTAACACAGTGTTCTAAAAATCTTTGGGACAGAGAAAAACAGTTTGAAGAAGAAAGTTTAGAGCAATACAGGTCTACCCTAGATACAAGAAAAATCTCAAGTTAAGAACTGAATGTTACATTTAAAAGAACTAGAAAAAGAACAAAGCCTAAAGCCAGTACAAGGGAGGAAGAAGTAAAGATCAGAATGAAAACAAATGAAAGATTTAGAAAAAAACAAAAACAAAAACAAAAACCAGCAATAGAAAAGGCATCAATGAAACTAAGAGCTGGTTGTTTGAAAAGATAAACAAATTGGACAAACCTTTAGAGAGATTCATCAAGATAAAAAGAGGACTCAAAATCAGAAATAAAAGAGAAGGGCTGAGACAAGATGGCGGGGAAGTAGGAGGAGGCACCGTTTCAACCTGTACTCTAAAGTGAGCTGATTACCTATCAAAGAACTCCGATCACCCATGAAATCAGCCTGAGATCAGAATTATACACTACTGGAGCTCTACAGGGGCAGAAGACGCCAGTGGGCTGGTAAAGTGGAGTGGGAACATCGGACTGATATCGGAGATAAACAAAAGGGGGAGGGAACCACCAGAGGCAACCTATTGGAAAGTAATACCCCTGCATCTGGGGACCAGCATTAACTTGGAGACTGGTTGAAAGCACTCAGAAAGAGCAAAGGATTGCAGGGGGTGGGGGATTGCGGGAATCGGGGCAGCTAGGGACAGGGGCTTAAGTCCCCGGACCCAGGAGAGCCTCCCCTGGCGGTGAGCCAGAGAGAGTGTGCTGGAGAAACCAGATCTTGGTCCCTGAGCCGCCAGCATGCCCGAGAACGCATGGGGTCCGGCTCCTGTGAGGGGCTGGGAGACTCGCCAGCCTGCAGAACGCTGAGCTGTGCTACAGAGCCTGAGACGCGGGTGCCCCTCACCCTCCCCTGAGAGAGGTGCATGAAGGCCCAGTCTGGTGCTCCCGGACCCGCGCCCTGCTCTCAAGAGCCTGAGACGCGCGCGCGACCCATAGCCTCCCCTGAGAGAGGTGTGCATAAGCCCGGCGCTCTTAGACCCAGAAACACCAGGCACTCCCAGCACAGGCCAGCGGGAAAATCTCAGTGTGCGATCGCTGCTTGTAACTTCTGGCGGTCAGGAGCTGCCCAGACAGCCACCGCTGCCGTGGTTTGGGGTACAAGCAGAAGATCCTGCATCCCCAGGGACCGCGACTGGGAACCTGCTCTGCCAGCAGCCAAGGGGGAATTTATATGGACTCTGCAATACCCACAGGGGACCAGACTGAGGCTTCTCTCTGAGAGGGGGGTCAGGGTGCAGTTTGCTTTCCTCTAAAAC